ACCCCTCCATGGGTGAGGGACGCGGCCGCTCGCGCTGTTTCTCGGTGCCATCTCGGCGGCATCTCGGATGTAGGTGGTTGGCCGCATCGTTGCCGCATCGCGTTGGCACTAGGCGTCATCTCAGCTGTATCTCGGTGATAGGTCGCCGGCCGCGTCGACGCTGGGTCGCGCGATCCTGCGCGGTTTGGCGAGCTATACGGCGGGCGCACGGCGACGGTGCGGTTGCGGTGCGGCAGTTGTGGCGGTGGCGGCGGCGGTGGCGGCGGTGTTGCTTCTTCCCCATCGCCTCTCACTCTCTGCTCTTCTGCGCCGGAGCGCGGCGGTTGCTCGTTGCCCTCGAGGTCAGCTTTGCGAGATGCAAGAGAGATGTGATGTGCCGAGATGTCGAGATGTTCGATCCAAGCGTTCGTCCCCGAGGAACACAAGTCTGGTTCGAGACGTTCACGCATCACTGTGCGCCCGCCGCACTCGCCCGTCAGGTTGCCATCGCACCCGCGTTGTGCCCTCGCCGCCAGCGGCTCCGCCGCATCGGCCTCAAGCAGGCGTCCGGAGCGGTTGTTCGCGGAATTAAGTTGTGAAGGCCGGAGCTGTGCTGTGAATAGGCCTCGACGTCGGCACTGGGGCGGGGAAGGCGGACGTCGTCGTGGACGGCGTCGCGACGCGACGTTCGCGTGGTCGCCACGCTGTACGGACGCCGCCACCGGCACGTCTCTCACATGTGCGGGGGTCATTCTGGCCGGAGGACAGACGGTTCGCAATTTGACCCTGTTCGTGCGCGTCTTGGCGGGCACGGCGGCGGTGGCGCTGAGCGCCGTTGCGCCTCCGCTTGGCGTGAGGTTGCGAGTGTTGCGGCGGCGCGATTCACCAGTACTTCTCACCGGCGACGCTGCGCCGCGCGGGCCCGGCGCGCTTTCGCTCCTCTGGCGCCGAGCCGTGAAGGGTTTCTGTTCTGAGCACGCACGGCCTGTGAAACAGGCGCGCTCTCGCTCCCCGCCATCGAGCCCCGGCCGCTAGCCATCGTGTTGGAGCACGATTGCGGCGGCGGCGGCGGCAAGAGTTCACCCCAGGCGAAGGAGCGCTCGGGCGCGGCGTTGGCGACGTTGCGCGCGCATGGACACCCGCCGATCCGGCTGAAGTGGCAGGTAGAGTGTTGAAGACGAGTAGTCAGTATCTAGACGACTAGCCGAAGCCGTACGCGCCGGGAGAGTCTACATAAGTTTTGACAAACAATGGAGTGGCCGGGTAGAGGCGGTGGAGGTCGGGCCCGCGCCGGCGCGGCGATCGCGATCGACTCTATTGCACTCTTGTAAACTGTAGGTGTATGGACTAAGCACATCGCCATCGGGCGCGAGACTACGTAGTGACTACTCCGCCAGGAGGAGACCCATCTCTCGCGCTTTTGTGCCATAGCGTCCTATCCCTCCCAGCCACTGGCGGCGCAGCCAAGCCCCCGCAGTACCCAGTACCGCCCACTGCCTCGCCGTCCGACTCTCAGGTCCGACTCCACCCACCAGACCTCAAATCGGGATGGCCAACTTTGGCTTCTTCGGCGGCGGCGCCTTGGCCCTCGGCTCGTCGTCCGCCGCCGCCGTGCTGCCGCCGCCGAGAGTCGTCTGTTTCATTGCCTTGCCGCCAGCCTTGGCCCTGCCGGCGGACGCCGACTTGGCGCCGGCCGACGTGGAGCCAGCAGCAGCCTTTTTGCCAGACCACTCTGCGACATACTGCTTAACGTCGAACTTGCGCTTGCAGCCGTTGTAGTTCATGTATCGGATCTTACCGAAGACGGCGCGCTCCGCCCATCCCATGTCGTGCACGCCCATGACGGACCAGCCGACGCCGACGTAGCCGTTCGGATCGCGCCCGTCGATCGAGTACTTGTCGTTGAGGTAGAGGCCAATGCGCAGCGCCTTGCATGACAGCCCTCCTCCGTCTCGCGTGATTAATCTCGTGGGGTCTCAATCATCGCGGCGATCTCTGACGATCTCTGGCGATCTCTGGCGATCTCGGGTCACCTCGGCCGGCGAGGCGGTCCACTCGAGAATCTTCTTTGCCCAATACATGCGCATGAAGCCGTGCATCTTGCCGCGCGCTGCGAGCTGCCGCTGCGCGGCGTTCCACAGATCCTCGTGCGTCTGCGCCCCCTCCAGCTGTTCGAGAGAGTACACGTGCTCGCGCTTGTCCGACGCGTGCAGCTCAAGGCTCTCTCGCGCCCAGCCCGCTGCACCGTCGAGCGAATCATAGGCGGGCTGTGGGAGGGGAGGGGGCGGGGTGACAAGGACTTCGGCGGAGCAAATGGCGGCAGCAAAGGGGCGGCGGCGAGGCCGAGAGGGGTGGTAGTAGGGGCTTCCCACAACCTCGTAGTGGCAGAAGTTGTCCGAGAGCTCGCGCCGAACGATCGACTCCTCCAGGAAAGAGGCGACGCTGTCGGACCGCGCCTTGGCGTGCTGCTTGACGCATAGCGCCATCCGCTGCGCGGAGAGCTGCCCAAAGTGGAGGTACGGAGACAGATCCGAGCACGCGGCGATGTTCGGGTCGTTGCGCTTGTCGGCAAACAGCTTGAGCCGCTCGTCGCAAAACGCGTCGACGGCGGCGAGCGCCGCGGCGGCGCCTGAAGGATGTGTGGGTGAAGTCTGGTCGGGTCGTGGGCGCGCGTCGACAGCGACGGGGCAGCTGCGGCGCCGGGTTTGCACCAGTCAACCTCTGCAACCGCGCGATCGAGCTGCAGGCCAGCCTCCAGCGCCACCCAGTCCATCGCCGCCGCCGCGGCCGCCAGGCCGGCCGGCGGCTGCGGGTCGGCTGCGGCGCGCGGCGGCAGGGCCGGGATGTCGACCAACCACTGAGGCAGCTTCTCGGTGATCTTCTTGCGGATGGTCCGCGCCCCGACCTCCCGTTTGTCGCTCGCCACCCACACGGGTACCACTGCAGGTTCGGGCAAGCGCGGGTGAGGGCTGCTGCGCGTGCAGGCAGGCTGTGCGTGCGTGAGGGCGGGGGCTGTGTTTGGGTGAGGGCACGCCCTGCGGGCACCGGTGGATGGCGCGGACTAGCAGGTGTGTCTGTCTGGCGCGATTGAGGCGGGACCGTTGTGGGCGTCAACCTCGAGCACCGGCGTCGCCGGCCGCGCCGCGATCAGCGCCTCCTTCCAGCCGCGCGGCTCGCGGAGGGGCGAGTAATCTGCCACGACCACGGCGACCTCGTGCTGGGCGCAGAACTGGGAGAGCAGCTCGGGAGGCGAGCCGCCATGCAGCAGGCAGAAGGGCACGCGGAGCGCCGCCAGTTCCGTGGAGACCTCGCGCAGCCCCTTGAGCATGAAGCCGTACTCGCGGAGCGTCGATCCCGGGCCCGTGGAGGGTGAGCCGGCGGCAGGCGGAGGGAGGCAAAACACGACAGAGAGCGGGAGCGAGTGGGCCTCTGCCAGCTCTGCTGCGTGCAGCAGCGCCCAGTTGTCTTGCACCCGCTGGTCGCGGCCCATCCAGTAGACGATCCCCCCTGGTGGCGGCGGCGGTGATGGTGGAGGGCAGCGGGGGAGAGGGAAAGAGGGCTGGTGCGGGCGGGACCTGTGCCACCAGCAGGGAGCTTGGCCTTCGAGAGCAGACGCACGCGCTTCGGGTTGACGATGGCGGCGCTCTGTGATGGCATGCTGCTGAGTGAGCAGACGCTGCTGAGTGACCGCACGCCGCGCAGAGCGAGGAGGCACAGCGGCACAAGAGGCCGAATAGCTGCCGCTTCGCGGAGGATTCTCGGACTTCGCGGAGTGGAGAAAAGAATTTAAAAAAGGGGTGACAAATTTTAATACGGCCGACAAGGTTGAGACTAAATAGCGCCCGTGATTGCCTGCACGCTGCCCGCACTCACGGACTCCATACCCGAAAGAAAGAAAAGGGAGCTCGCGGGGGAGGTGACGAGTGAACTACAGGTAGTGGGGAAGGCAGCCTCGATCGCCATACAGACATGGGTGCGAAACAACGACAAGACCAAGGCACGGGCAGAGGAACGAGAGAAGAATATAGGGTGGATAAAGCTCCTGTTCACGGCATGGAGGGTGAGCCACACCGAACGTACCGAGCGAAGAGCCGAGCGGAAGGAGGACGGGGAAGACGACTCCGAGGGCGGCTCCTGGCCCGTCCCGGCCGTGACGCTGGGGCCGACTTGCTACAGCGGGCGGGGAGACGGACCGCCAGCTCTGCTGCTGCCTGTGCTGCCCGTAGTCCTCGCCTGCGAGCGAGTGCCCTTTGCGGGGCTGTCGCTCAGAGAGCGGGTGTCGCCACGGCCGTCTTCTGACCTGTTTTGTGGTCTGCGCGCTGCGCTGCGCTGCGCGTCTCGAGGCGCGCCGCAACACAGCCCGTGTAAATGGGGTAATGGATGAACCAAGCATCCCCGATGGCCGGGGGCATGTCCCATGGCCCCGGGGTGGCCGTGGGCACGCAGGGGGCGCCGCTACGGGCCGCTGCGGCGCCCATTCTATTTCGAAGAATGCCATTCTGGAATATAGAATGTAGGTCTGAGACCGAAATACCTTCCTTCCGCCGATCGGCCCCCACATGGCCACAAACTCTCTGCTCCTCGATTGATCGACCGTTCGATCGTTTCGCTGCGCCCGCGGAGTGCTCCGCAGCAACCTCGCTCTCGGGCAGAAGATCGGTCGGTACTCCGCGAGGACCGAGGTGGGGTGCTAGTCTGAGAAGGGAGGGTGTGAAGAGGCCTGTGGACGGTTACTCGATCGTGTTTGACGTCGTCAAACAGTAGTGTTTGACGACGTCACACACTACTTAGGAATGGCCGTATTGCAATAGCAGTCTAGGCACTAGGGAGCAAAAAACAAAAGGGAGCTTTCTTGGAAAATTCTTTCTCTCTGGTTTGCCTGAATGAATTTGTTTGTTTGCCTGTGTTACTCGGTTTCTCGATCGTGTATCGTGTTCGACGTCGTCGAACAATGTACGACGTCGTCGAACACAAGTGGAGAATGCATCGGCCGCCGAGGGAACGTTGGGAAGAGGCACGAGGAGGGCGGCGACCTCGACCGACTATGGAGGACCCGTCGCCAGACGACGCAGGGCAGAAGACGGTGAGGCGGAGCAGACGCGCAGGGCGAGACGAGGGAGGGAGCAGGACTTTGCGGAGATCAGCAGGAGGATGTACGAAGAGATTAGGAGCAGCAGGGACCCGAGGGACCATGTGGAAGACGGCTAGTGCTAGTCCCCCCCGTCGGGAGGACGACCCCGGCTAGTCGCCGACCACACCCACTCAAAGAACCCTGCACAAAAATCGCAAGGGCGGGGACCTGTTCTTTTTTACCCACCTCACAGTAGAGAGGTGTCCGTTTTAGCCCCCCGCTACCCGGTTGCACTCGTGCGACGTAGCGGGGGGCCACGACTACGTTTACGAAAACATAAGTAGTCCCGCGAGGTGTGAATTTGGCCGCCCCAGAAGCCCCCTTTCCAATTGACTGATTTTGCTGCGCGTCCACAGAGCGTCCAAACTTTGTTTGGGCGCGAACCGTATCTCGCAACGAATCTCGCCGGCCTCACCGCACACCGGCTCACTTTGACCGACCTACCGTCCGCTCGACTGGCCGATGAAGAGCGACCCGTACGACGCGCACTTGTCGTCCTCCCTCCTCGCCACATGACGGCCGCCCCCCGACACCGACAGTCGCGCTCCGCACGCCTTCGAGGTCAGCTGCGGCCGAGCGACGATCGGCTCGCCTCCGATCGCTGGGCGCGGTCACTCTCCGGCCCATCACCCACCTGCCGATCACCTGTCCGCCTCGCCGCGCAGACGGCGCGCTCTGGCAGACAGAGCAGCGGCCGCCTAGGCGGTCGCTGCTCCGCCCCGTCCGAATCCGTCCGCCCGCGCGTGCCGCTGCCGCCGCCGCCGCCGCTCCACCCGGTGCCCGTGTGTCGTGAGAGTTGCTTTGTGTATGTGTGTATGTCTATGTGGACAGCGACACTTATGTCACACTTGAGCCTCTATCTATGATTGTAGACCGGTACTCGGGTTTGGATGGTAGCGGGGGGCCCCGCCGGAGGCTGGTTACTGATTATTTAGTTATTTTTGAGGTCGATACTAGCTAGCGTCTATAGCTTGCCACAAGCATGCTTTACAAAAGTCCTGCTG